CTCCGACTCAAAATCTAAATCCAAATCCAAATCTAAGTCAAACAGCTCAGACTCCGATTCAGACAGCTCAGACTCCGACTCCGACTCTGACTCAAACTCTAAATCTAAATCCAACTCAGACAGCGCCGGCTCAGACAGTTCCGACAGTTCAGACAGCTCGGACTCAGATGATTCGGATTCTGAATCCAAGACCGATATTAAGAAAACTAAGAAAAGATCATCTGACGAGAAAAGCGATTCCAATAAGAAGCAAAAGCTTGAACCATCCTCCTCTCAAACGGAATCCTTCTCCCCTTCCCCAGTTTCTGATGCAAGAATAAGTGCTTCCCAAGAACCTGAATTGAAACCAGGTCAAAGAAAGCATTTTTCTAGAATTGATCGTAGTAAGATCTCTTTCGAAGACAACACCTTAGCCGACAATACTTACAAAGGAGCAGCTGGAAGTTGGGGTGAACTTGCCAATGAAAAGTTATTACAAGTTAGGGGTAAGGACTTCACCAAAAACAAAAACAAGATGAAGAAAGGTTCATACAGAGGTGGTTCGATCACTTTTGCATCCGGCTCCTACAAATTCACCGATTGAGCCAGTAACTTTGGGAATTCATGTATTATAGTTCGTTAGAGTATGACATTACCCATCCTTTAGATTTTACCTTTACTAATTGTTCTATTACCGGTTTTATTTAAATAGTTTTAATATATTTTGCATTACTTATACATATTGGAAGTTTGTATGCGCACGCAAAATGTTGTAGATATGGATTTAAAAATTAGATCAGACTTAATAGCATTACTAAGTATATACATATCTGAGAGGTCTTTGAAATTTTTTTCTAATCTATAATATCTCTTCACTAAAACATAGTATGTCACGTCGCCCAGGTGGTATTAGCTATTCAGAGCTAGATCAGGGTAATTTTTCTGATGATTCGTTTGATGATGAAGATGAGCAAGTGCAACGCAGAAATAACAAAAATGATGATGACGACTACAGTTATGGGTCTAATAGGCGGAAAGGGACCAAGAAAGCTAATGGAAATGCTGGGAATGGGAATGCTAGTCGTAAGAGAAAAGCTGCGGTAGAGGTAATAAGGGCCCAGGTTCCCAGCGCTGATTATTCAGATGAGGAGTTGGTGGATCTTACACCAGATATCCCAGCAGATTACGTCCCCGATGCTGTGTCGAAAGCCTTTGGTAAGTCAGATTTTTCATACTTAAAATTGAAGCCAGATCATTTTTCAAGACCCATATGGATATCTCCTATAGATGCCAGAATTATTTTAGAATCATTTTCGCCACTAGCTGAACAGGCACAAGACTTTTTGATTACTATTGCAGAACCAATCTCAAGACCCTCGCATATTCATGAGTATAGGATTACTGCTTATTCGTTATATGCTGCAGTCTCTGTAGGACTTGAGACAGACGACATCATTCTGGTATTGAACAGATTATCAAAGGTACCGGTTGCCGAATCTATCATTGCCTTTATTAGGGGTGCGACTGTATCTTACGGGAAAGTCAAGTTAGTTTTAAAGCACAATCGTTATTACGTCGAAAGTACTCAGGCTGATATTTTACAAATGCTTTTGAAAGATCCGGTCATTGGTCAGTTGCGTATTCAGTCTACTGAAAATACAGTAACCAGTAATGGCCTTGTACAATCATCGGCGCCAACTCAAGGGGACTTGTCTATACCGGGAACAAAGAAACCTGGTTCTAACGACGAGAAAAAAGATAATGAAGTAGAAGATATCTTTGCATCAGTAGTGGGGAATAAAGCTAATGGAGAAGAAGATGATTACGATGACTTAGAAACAGTGCATTCGTTTGAGATTGCAAATGAGTCTGTGGAAATTGTCAAGAGAAGATGTCAGGAAATAGAATATCCAGTTTTGGAAGAATATGATTTCCGTAATGACGATCGTAATCCTGACTTAGATATTGACTTAAAGCCATCAACTCAGATTAGACCATATCAAGAAAAATCATTATCAAAGATGTTTGGAAATGGACGTGCTAGATCGGGAATTATTGTCTTACCATGTGGTGCTGGAAAGACCTTAGTTGGTATCACAGCTGCATGTACTATTAGAAAATCTGTGATTGTATTGTGTACGTCATCTGTCTCAGTAATGCAATGGAGACAACAATTCTTACAGTGGTGTACAATACAGCCAGAAAATGTTGCAGTATTCACTTCTGAAAATAAAGAAATGTTTACCAGTGATGCAGGTTTGGTTGTATCTACCTATTCGATGGTTGCCAACACTCGTAATAGGTCTCATGATTCCCAGAAGGTTATGGACTTTTTGACTTCGAGGGAATGGGGTTTTATTATATTGGATGAAGTACATGTTGTACCAGCTGCAATGTTTAGACGTGTGGTTACTACAATTGCTGCTCATGCTAAATTGGGTCTCACTGCTACATTAGTCCGTGAAGATGATAAAATTGATGATTTGAATTTCTTGATTGGCCCCAAATTATACGAAGCGAACTGGATGGATTTGGCTCAAAAGGGTCACATTGCAAATGTTCAATGTGCTGAAGTTTGGTGTCCTATGACTTCTGAATTTTATCAAGAGTATTTAAGAGAAACGGCAAGGAAGAGAATGCTCTTATATATTATGAATCCTACAAAATTTCAGGCATGCCAATTTTTGATTCATTATCATGAGAAAAGAGGTGATAAAATCATTGTCTTTAGTGATAATGTTTATGCATTGCAAGGATACGCATTAAAGTTGGGCAAACCATTTATTTATGGGTCAACATCTCAGCAGGAGCGTATGAAAATTTTACAAAATTTTCAACATAATGACCAAGTTAATACAATATTTTTATCCAAAGTTGGTGATACTTCTATAGATTTACCTGAGGCTACTTGCTTAATTCAAATATCATCGCATTACGGGTCTAGAAGACAAGAGGCTCAAAGATTGGGACGTATTTTACGTGCAAAGAGACGTAATGATGAAGGTTTCAATGCGTTCTTCTATTCGTTAGTCTCAAAAGACACACAAGAAATGTATTACTCAACTAAAAGGCAAGCATTTTTGGTAGATCAAGGGTATGCCTTTAAAGTCATTACACATTTAAGTGGAATGGAACAGTTACCAGACTTAGCCTATTCATCAGCAAGAGAAAGAAGAGAACTTCTTCAGGAAGTTCTATTAAAGAATGAAGATGCCGCAGGTTTAGAAATAGGTGATGATGCTGACACTAATTTCATACCAAGAGAGCAGCGTGAGAAGAGAGCAAAACTAGAAAGTAATGGCAGTTCTGCGACTAGAACAGCAGGTTCTTTAGCGGGCTTAGCTGGTGGTGAAGATATGGCATATATTGAGTATAATAAGAATAAGAATAAAGAGATAAAAGAGCACCACCCTTTGATTCAGAAGATGTACTATAATAAGAACCAAAAAAAATAGCACTACTTTGCAAACATGTTTTTCGCGTGTTTTTCGTTAATCAATAGAATTGTGTATATGAGCAATAAATTTGTATATATATAAACTAAGTGTAGATAAGGAAATGTTAGAACGCATATTTAGTCTCCCTAATGAAGAAAACATAATATGTGCATCATTTACCTAGAAATTTCTAGAGGTGGTGTAGTTCTCAAGACAAAAGTAAGGCTTGGTAATGCAAAGTCTAATAAATGGTAAACTATACGAAATCATCCACCCACAAAATCTCCAAAATCATCATCGTCATTATCATCATTATTTTCATCATCATTATCGGCAAAGTTTCCAGGTGCCTGATTCACAGAACCTTCGTCTGTTCTGGAATCATCAGGGATATCATTATTATTTATAGATAACAGGTTTTGTCTACTTTCAACTTCCGATAAGCGTAATTCGTAATTATACTGATCGACAAAGTTCTTAAATCTTCGTCTATATATATTAAGACTTTCAGAGAAAGATATTGCCGCAAAGTTCTCACTGATTTTCAAGCCTAATGCAACTTGCAACAAATAACCTTCTTCAATTTGCTCTTCCTCTTGAATGAAAGGATGATAACCAGATCCTGGCAATTGGACAATGATTTTATAGAATTTTGAAGATTGTGGTGTCATTTGAATTGTCTCTTCTCTGTTATTTGCAATGCAGTATTGTGTAAAATCTACACCAGAATTATCCTCTTCAGCTGGCAACGGATTATACCAAACTTCCGCCCATATTTTTTCATCCTCCATGCGAGATTCATTCGGAGGCACAACCAGCGAGTTTTTGAAGTTAAAAAACTCTAATTTGAGTCGTAATCCTCTATATGGCTTAATAGGAGCAACTTCCGAATCCTTTTCAAAAAATGCGGAGGGCTTATCTCCCACTGTAAAAGACGACAAACACTCCGATTCAACTCCGTTGGATCCATTGCAAAATACCCCCTTATCCTCTTGAATTAATTCTTCTTCAGTTAGTCGTAAGCTACCCTTCCATATAGTATTTGAATCACTTAGATCCCATTTGGACAAGGAGAGCTCACCTGGAGGGATTCTAAATACAGATACATCTTCAGCCTCGAATAATTTAGTAGAAATTATGTCATTCATAATACTAATAGATATTTCTTATGGTGCCAGATGAACTTAACTTTCCCTTAATGTATGCTATATTCAACACAATTGGTCCATTTCTAAATAGAGGTCACTATAACTAGTCTCATGGGATTTAGAGATTTTATGTGCAACTGTCGTGCAAAGCTCAAAACTTCCGAGCTGAAAAACTTCTTCATTAGGTCCATAGTTTATGAATACATTAAGGTTGAATAATATACTTGACAAACAGCAAGAAGGATGTTCGGCAATATAGTAAACAAAAGATTTGCTGGCGTTGTGAACAGAGGGTTATTGAACAGACCGGCCGTGGGCGTATCATCGGTCCGTTTCAACTCAAGCTTTGATGAGCTTGCAAAGGCTATGAAACAACAAACCAACAAGAAGGAAGATAATAACAAGGACAGAAATTCGAACGCCATCAGCGACATAGACAACTTGTTGTCAAGTACTTTTGATTTCCAAAACAATTCCCATTATGCCAATAAGTCAAACGATTACATACTCGACAACTCGTTAAAACATCCTCGTGATGTGGCCAAATCCATCCGTTTACATGGTCCTATTGCAGGAAGATCTGTCGATGTGCAATATGGTAACTTTAATCGTGCACTCGGGGGAATTTTCACCGTGGTTAGAAGCAATAAGATTAGATATCTCCAAAAGGTGCAGTCGAGGTTTATTCCACCTGCCAAGTATAGAAAACAAAAGAAGAGAGAATGGTGGAGGCGTAAGTTCTCTCAAGGCTTTAAGGAGTTAATGTCTCAAGTCAGAGATGCTAAGAGAAGAGGTTACTAAATGGTTGAACATTTCTTTTTCGTTGCGTTCTGTCATAGCATAATTATCAGTATACTGTATGAGTATACTGATGCATTTTACTCAAAACTTGGCTCATATTATCTGGGGGTTCCAATACCACACACATACCGTTATACTTAATCTTGTATATATAAATTATAAACTAATCATCAATAGTATGCTTATCTATTTTTTTTCACTTGATAGTAAGTCGTGTAGACCTCGATTATATTATCTATATGCTTTTTTGACTTTTTGCTAGATTCATTGAAGCTAAACATCCACAGAAAAGCTTCGTCTTACAAGAGTTGAGGCATTTTTGTTGGATTTACAGAGAATTTGTGAGTCCAACTCGATAGATATAAAAGTTTTGCTATTTTAAGGGTGAAATTCATTGTCGCTTATCATAATCACAACGTGCCTTAAATATTAGTGAAGATTTATTTACACACATCTATTTTATTCTAAACGTTAGAAAATCATACAAAAATGTCTTTAGCAGACGTGAAAAGAGAACAGGTATCAACGAAATCATCAAATGGGGGTATACCAGCAATAACGGGCCAAATTGATTACTCTAAAGCCATTCATATTTTTCCCGATGCACTACAACCATTTAGATCTACGATATTAGCATACGGGGCATCCTTTTTATCTACGACAGTTGGTTTTCCTATGGATACTGTGAAGACTCGAATGCAAACACATAAACATTTTTTGAATTATCTTGATTGCGTAAAGAAGACTTACCACCATGAAGGTGTTCCGGGATTTTTTAGAGGTATATGGGCGCCATTGATATCAACCTCCATATCGAAATCACTCAGTGTTATGATTTTCACTGAAGTCAAACCACACTGTTATAATTTGATCTACGGTAAACACGACACTCAGAACACCGTGCATCCGTTACTTCGTAACGTCCCCGTTTGTATGTTGTCTGGTACGTTAGCCGGAGCAGGTATTTCATTATTTGCATGTCCTTTTGAATTTACTAAAATTTATGCCCAAATATTGAAACTTATTCAAAAAAAATCGATGAAGGATTTACCAAAGCATTTGCAAACAAACCATCAAGAAATTAAAAATATTTCGACTACACAAACAATACGTCAAATTTTAAAGCATGAAGGCATAAGAGGTTTATATTCTGGATACAAGTATCACTTGATTCGAGATTCATTATCTTCTGGTATTTATTATTCAATATATGAATCAATGAAATGGACCATGAATGAGCTTCTAAAAACTGATTCTAACGAATCTTCTCATATATCAATTCTCATGGCCGGTGGGTTTTCAGGTATCTTTAGTTGGATTTTAATCTTTCCAATTGACACTACAAAGTCCCTTATTCAAAGGGACCTGGTAACAAATATTTTGAGGAAAGAGCAAGGCTTGGAGCCGTTGCCAGTGAAGGAAAGAAAATTAGAGGGATTTCATAGAAAGCTTTATAGAGGTTTAGGTATTTCAGTGACAAGATCGTTCATAGTTAACATGGTTTTTTTCAGTGTTTATGAATTTGTCATGGCTCATGTTGCTTAAAAAATACCTTTTCTATTATACTATTCTCGGTATATATGATACACATATTAAATACATTAATAATACAGGACATAAAAATTCAATGTCTCTTTTTTGGTCTTCCTCTTTTAACTTCTTCCATCTCTAACTTTTCATTATCAGATTCATTATTCAATTCATTGTCGTGAAGTCTGAGTCTACGACTCCTTCTTGGTAAATTGGAGTCTTCTTCCAAGTCCGACGAAATTTGATAAATACTTCTTTTCAAAGGTGATTTCGAGCGTGTCCGCAACGCTGGGTGATCAAGCAGTGTTTCAATCCATTTGGATCCTGAAGATTTTCTTGATGATGGCAGTGATTGCTTAGAATCGACTTCAGTAGGCGAACTTTTAACTAAAACTTTTGTATTGGATAGATGTCTCTGTTTATTCACGTGAAGTTTAGGTAGTTCCCTACTGGATCTCAAGTTCTTTTTCGGCGAGGATAATAAATCTGAGGTTTGTATATCATCATTTTCTTCAAGACCATATTTATGCCCACTTCTTAAAGACCTTACAGGTTCAATATGAACTTCAGACATATCTAAGCCTAAAATCTTTTTCGGAAGTTTAGATTTCGATTTTTTGTCAGTGCTTCTATGATTTATTGAATGCAGATTCTTGGGCGAATTTGAATCGTCAATTTCTGAATTGGTACTATGAAGACTATGTATAGTCGTAGATGAAGAATCACTTCTATCCTTTTCAAAATGTCCCTCGTGCTTGCTCTGCTGAAGATCTTCTTCGTCAATAGTATTTTCTTCAGCCTTAGCCATTGAAGTAATATCAGAAAATTTTCCATTCGTAGTATCGTAATTGGGGTTATCTTCGTCATCAATCTTAAAATCATTCAGACTACTTTTTTCTCGTTCCAGGTCAGATATATTATGTAATTTATCCTTTCCAATTTCGTTGCGTTTCAGGCCCATTGACTTCTTCAAGTGACGAATTAACTCGTCATACTTCTTGTTATTGTCATTTATACCATGTTGGAGTGCTATATCTCTAAGAAATTTCTGGGTATTTTTCTTTTGAGGGGATATGTTAGAATTATCATCAACGGGCTTTAACTTTGGAACTTTAATATGAGCTGGAATTTTCGAGGGAGATTTTCGAGCTTTAGAAAGCCATTGAAATGGTTTAGAGATCAACTTTCTTAGCTTAGAACTGATAAACCCTTCAGATTCACGACTTCTCTTTCTGGAATCTTCCTTATATCTGTTATAAAGCTTCTCTTTAGAATTAGTTAACTCGTCATGCTTTCCGAAAGGCGTTTGACTTCTTGAAAGAGGTTCCAAAACATCTGTCGGTTCAATTATTTCATATTCATTTTCATACCCTTGTTCGAATGCTGAGTTGATTAGTTCCACAAGACCTCCATCTGTATCATTTGGCTCAACAATTGTTGATGGTTCAAGAACTTCAATATCATCAATACCCAATGGACCTGTGACTATTTCTATTTGTTCACTATATTTAGGTACCTCTACACATTCTTCTTCTTCTGGTTCCATTATATTAGACGGATGGAGAATTCCATCACCCATAATATTCACATAAGTGGTTTGTTCATATTCGATAATAGCATTTTCATCTTCTTCTTTAGGTTCTTCAACTATAATATAATTCGAGGAAAAGCTTCGCCTTTCTTCATTTTCATCTGCTACTTCACCCTCCATATCATCTCTATTGCGGTCATAATTTTCTTCAGCTTCATTTACTGAAATTTCATCTGATATTTTCTTCTCTCTTTGAATATTCTGCGATCTGTCTTCAGCACTTAGTCTTTGATAAATATCACTTTCTGTATTTAAATCCTTCTTATTATGAATTATTTCCGATTCATTCATACTATCATTGTCTCTGTGTAGATCATCAAGTTCTTGTGTAAGTGAAGGGTATAACACTTCACTTATTGACTTTTCACGAGAATTTTCATTGAATTGAGGCGAGATTGTATTACCCACTTCTTGTATCCCATCTGTAGCTAGACTAAACCTGTTCTTTTCAATTCCCTCTACTGATGCATCCAATAAGTTTTTATTAATATTTTCTATCTCATTTAACCTTTCAACTATTGCATCTTTTGGTTCAATTCGCTCCAAGTCTGAAGTTAAAGCTTCAGTGGATGAATTTTTATTCAGTTTGTATTTTATCTCATTCATAGAAGTATCATCAATTCGGGATTGGTCAA